CAGCCCTCGGGTGAGGAACTGGACACCAACATATGACAACCACTATAGTCCAAGAGGGGACTCCCATACTCTACTAAGACAAACAAGCGGTCACCGCACCATCCGCTCCCCATAGGACCGTGGGACAGCATCTTAGCCCGACACACCACTTGCAGATCAAGTAAAGGCGCAGCGTCATCAGCACCCAAGTACCCGATGAACGTGCCAACCGCTGACACAACTGGCCGTGTCAGCAAGGCTGGATTGGAGGAAAAGGAAGAGCTGGACCCTTCGAAGGACCTTCTATACCCGTGGTATTTTCCTCTTTTACCCATCTGTAACCCCTGCTCCCCTTGGTCTATAAAAGGGAGGGCAGGGCTCCCTACTAAAGGGACGACTGACTTTTGATGAACAACTCACATACAGACGAGCTCATAGAGAGTTCAGTTCCACATCACGCACACAGCCAAGCCGCCACGAGGCTCTTGGCACCCTTTTGACCCTTCCATCAGAGATCTGGGACTAGTCCCTCTCTCGACCGTTTGTACCCCCTACTATGAACCGTTTTCGGTGCTAATAACACGAGCAGCAATAGACTAGGACGTAGGGACATTCAGCCCAAACCAGTATAAACCTTGTGTCCTTTAGCGCACCATCCGGGCCTAACGCGCATAATTATAAATTTACTAGCCGGTGTTTGTTCGAAACTCCGACAGGTGGGAGCGCCGCTTCGAGGAGGCGACATCAGAGCTCTAGGAGCGGGACGAGGCGGTGGACCGTCGCATCAAGTCGCTAGAGGAGTTTGCCTCGGCATAGTACACCGCCACCATCATCGTCGACAACTAGGGGGGACGAGCGAGTCTCTCGACCTCGAGCAGCGGATGGTGGATCTGAGCTGATCCGCATCCATGAGATCAACGACGAGCGCGACGACAGGGTGGCCGCCGTGGAGGAGCTCGTCAGTTGGTGCCCGGAGGTGGACGGTCTGATCGACGATCTTCATTTGGAGGTGAAGAACCTCCAGACGAGTGGAGGTCATGCTACGGTGGAGCTACCCACATCGGGAACCCTGCGGCAGCCGGAGTTGGTTGCCACGCGCTCATCTACCAAGACTCCAACCAACTGGCCCATCGGGCACCGCGTCGAATCGACTACATAGGAGAGGGGCTATGGGTTGGTCACAACCATAGCTCCGAACCCGGCCAATGGTATGCGCCGATTCCCCGATTCCCCTCCTCCTTATGCTCCATATCCCCGTCCTCATCCTACTCCCAACCTTTCCTTCAATGTTGTGGATGCCCACCTTCCTCCCCCACCACCAGACCCTTCACCTATCCAACCCCACTCCTCCAACCTCGGCCAATTACCCAAAATGCATTTTCCTCAATTTGATGGTACTACACCCCAACTATGGATCACTCAGGCCCATTCCTACTTTGATATGTACTTCGTTGATCAATCCATGTGGGTATGAGTGGCTACAATGCAGTTCACGGGTGCAGCCAAATGATGGATTCAGTCCATTGCACACCGCCTTGAACACATTGGTTGGCAGGACTTCTATGCAATGGTGCGCGAGCGCTTTTGCCGTGATCAACACGAACTTCTCATCCGCCAACTATTCCACATTAAACAAACAACCTTGGTTCAAGAATACGTCGATCAATTTGTTGATCTTATTGAGCAGCTCTACGCCTACACACCTAACCTAGATACTCTCTCCTACACCACATGTTTCATCGATGGCCTCCGTGACGACATTCACTCTGTTGTTCTTGTTTAGCGTCCTGCCGATCTCGATGCTGCTTGTTCACTTGCCCTTTTGCAGGAGGAGGCCGTCGAGCCAAGTCACCGCCGAGAATTCTAGCGTACTGATGCTCCCGCATTACTGAAGCCAGCAGTACCATGGGGGCCATTGCCACTTCCTGCTCCTCCCCAACGACTGGCTCTTCCAGCTCCTCCCATGCCGCCAGAGCCGAAGCACCATCCTGAAGATCGTCGTCCTGACTACCGCCGCGTCTCAGTGGATCACAAGTTGTAGTCCCTCCGCTCTTACAGGAAAGCTCGTGGCCTCTGTATGCGTTGTGGTGAGAAATGGCACCAAGGTCACAAATGCTCTCTGGTTATCCAGTTGCACGCATTACAGGAGGTGTGGAATCTTTGTGAAGAGCTGTTCACCGAGACAGAAAGTTCAGGGCCCGACACTCCTGTCCCAGCAGATTAGTCCTTCATGCTCATGTCTGCTGCTGCTATTTCTCCATCATTTGACCCCAGAACCCTGCAATTTCAAGGCATGCTCCAAGGCCAGAGTATTACCATCTTGTTAGATTCTGGGAGCACCAACTCATTTTTGGATACCAACTTGGCAGCGTCTTTTCAGGGGGTCCAGCAGTTGTTAGTTCCCACATCTATGAAGATTGTCGATGGTGGATCAGTACCTTGCACTGCTCAAATTCCATATGCAGAGTGGTCTATTCAAGGATATGTTTTTCATTCTACTCTCAGGCTCATTCCCATTGGCACATATGACATAATTCTGGGGATGGATTGGTTACAGGCCTTCTCACCCATGAAGGTTCATTGGCTTCAATGTTGGGTCCAGATTCCTTATGGCCCCCCACTGTGGTGTTACATGGCAGTCTTTCAGAGCAGCTTGGTTGTTCAGTTGTTCAGCTCCATCATTTGTCTGCTGAAAGGGATGATACTTCTACTTCAGGGCACACTGATCTACCGGAGATTCAGGCGCTGCTGTCTCGGTATCAACATTTATTCAGATTGTCGACCGAGCTGCCTCCGCGTCGGGCTTGTGATCACTCCATTCTCCTCATTCCAGGGGCTCAGCCTATGTCGGCCCGCCCTTATCGCTACTCGCCGGCCTTGAAGACAGAGATTGAGGCTCAGGTGACAGAAATGCTACAGTCTGGCTTCATCCGCCCAAGTACCAGCGCTTTCTCTTCCCTAATTCTATTGGTCAGGAAGAAGGACAACAACTGGCACTTTTGCGTCGATTATCGCCAACTCAACGCACTTACTGTGAAGAGCAAGTTCCCCATTCCGATCATCGATGAACTTTTTGACGAATTATCCGGGGCAAGTTGGTTCTCTTGTCTAGATTTAAGGGCCAGTTTCAACCAGATCTGCCTTGCCCCTAGGGAAGAACACAAGACTGCCTTCCAAACCCATTGGGGCCAGTTCGAGTATACTGTGATGTCCTTCGGCTTAACTGGTGCCCCAAATTCCTTCCAAGATGCTATGAACAATACATTATATCCCTCCTTCGCAAGTGTGCCTTGGTGTCCTTCGACGACATCCTAGTGTACAGTGCCACTTATGACGACCATATTAAGCATCTGGCTCAAGTTTTTGAGTTGCTTTCCAAGGACCAGTGGCTGATTAAACTGTCCAAATGCCGCTTTGCTCAACAATCAATCAACTACTTGGGTCATGTCATCAGTGCACAGGGAGTCTCCACAGATCCATCCAAGGTTGCCGCTGTGCAAGCCTGGCCACAGCCATCTGATGTCAAGCATCTCCACAGCTTCCTCGATCTCACAGGGTATTATCGGAAGTTCGTTAAGCACTATGCTATGGTTGCAAGACCTTTAACTGATCTGCTCAAGAAGGGTGTGATCTTTATTTGGACTACCAACCATGCTCTTGCCTTTAACACTCTGAAGCAGGCTCTCACTGAAGCTCCAGTTCTAGCCCTGCCCGATTTTTCCAAGCCCTTCCAGCTACAGACTGATGCAAGTGATGGCGGCATCGGGGCAGTCCTCCTTCAAGATGGTCACCCCTTGGCCTTTGTTAGTAAGTCACTTGGCCCTCGTTCGCGTGGCTTATCTACTTATGAGAAGGAATACCTAGCTATTCTTGTGGCTGTGGACCAATGGAGATCCTACTTACAACATGGCGAGTTCACTATCTACACTGACCAACGAAGCCTCATGCATATTACTGAGCAGAGATTGCAGACGCCATGGCAAATGAAGCTTTACACCAAGGTTGTGGGACTGCAGTTCAGGGTTGTCTATAAACCAGGGGCTTCAAATTTGGCAGCAGATGCTCTTTCACGGCATCCTTTGCCTCCAGAACAGCTCAATGCAATTTCTACTTCTTCCCCAACATGGTTGTCAGATGTTGTGGCTGGCTATGATTCTGATCCCACCTCTTCCAAGTTGTTGCAGGATCTAGCCCTCAATTGTGATTCCCATTCACCTTATTCTCTGCTCAGTGGTGTTATTCACATTGGTGATCGTATTTGGGTGGGTGACAACAAGAATCTCCATCTGAAAATCTTTGAAGCATTGCATTCCAGTGCTATCGGTGGCCACTCTGGGTTCCCTGTTACCTACGCCCAGATCAAGAAGTTGTTTGCTTGGAGGGGTATGAAGTCTGACATCAAAAAACTGGTTGCTTCTTGTACAACCTGTTTGCAGGCCAAGCCCGATCATGCAAAGTACCCGGGATTACTTTCTCTACTGCCTATTCCCGCGGAGTCGTGGCAAGTCATCTCAATGGACTTCATCGAAGGGCTGCCCTGCTTGGGCGCAGCTAATTGCATCATGGTCGTCGTCGACAAGTTTAGCAAGTTTGCCCACTTCGTGCCTCTCCTTCACCCATTCACAGCTCAACAAGTGGCTCAGGTCTTCTTTGACCATATTTAACGGTTACATGGCATGCCATCCCACATCATCTCCGACCGCGACCGCATCTTCACTAGCCATTTCTGGAAGGAGCTGTTCCGTTTGGCCGGAACCAATCTATGCATGAGCTCTACCTACCATCCTCAATCCGATGGCCAGACGGAACGGGTGAACCAGTGCCTCGAAGCTTTTCTCCGGTGCTTTGTCCACTCCTGCCCTAAGCAGTGGCTACGGTGGATCAGCCTGGCGGAGTATTGGTATAACACCAGTCTCCATTCTTCACTCAACAGGTCTCCATTCGAGGTACTGTATGGACACCCTCCTCGCCACTTCGGCATTTCACCTCCAGAAGCATCATCTATTCCTGATGTTGAAACCATGCTTACTGAGCGTTCCACTATGCTTGATTTGGTTCGCCAACATCTTCTCCGAGCTCAACAACGCATGAAGCTGTATGCTGACAAGCACCGTTCCGAGCGATCCTTCAACATCGGCGACATGATCTTCCTCAAGCTCCAGCCCTACGTCCAGGCGTCGCTTGCTCCTCGTGCCCATCAGAAGCTCTCTTTCCGTTATTTTGGACCATACAAGGTGCTGGAGAAGATTGGAGCTGTCGCCTACAAGCTCCAATCTTCTCCAAAAGGAGCCCGTGGCCTCTGTATGCGTTGTGGCAAGAAATGGCACCAAGGTCACAAATGCTCTCCGGCTATCCAGTTGCACGCATTACAGGAGGTGTGGAATCTTTGTGAAGAGCTGTTCATCATGGCATTCGATGCAAGCTCTCCGAAGATCAATGCTGCGGCGTGAGGGCATGCCGCAATTCAAGGAGGGGGGAATGTCACGTACTGCCTGCTAGGTGGGCCATGCCAGGCTGTCACCAGTGGAGGGAACCAGCTACATAAGGACATATGAGGACAAGCCAAGGGGATCAACCAAAAATATCAATCAACAGAATATCTTTACCCTTTACTAGTTTACTGTTCATCTTCTTCTTTGAGTCTCCTGTATCCGGTTCTCCGCTACGAGAATCAAGTATTTGTGAGCAATCCAGTTGGGTTGCTAACACTTAGCGTGGTTTTTACACAGCTCCCTCTTTGTTGTAAATAACCAATACCGACTCCCTGAATTTCCATGTAAATTACCTAGCCTTGTTATTATTAAAAGTAACCTCTTAAATCTGTATTTAAATTAACTACTTCCAACATTATGAAAGTTATCAATTTTCTTGCTAAACATAAGATTCACAAGTGAATGTTGGAGACTAGAATATTTTATTCCTTAATCTAAAAAAACATTAGATAACTAGTGTTTCTACTAGCAAATAAGCACAAAAAAAAGTCTATCAAGATTCAAACAATTTCAAGGAGACACCACAAAATAGAGCACGATTTTAGGAAAAGAAAACTGAACCTAGCTTTATAATCTGAAACCAGATTTTAGGATTTTTAATTGCATTATTTTCGTAAATATTTAGATAGATTTTTAAAAAAATATTTTTGTGAAATTTTGGGGTTTTTAAATATTTCTAGTTCGATTTACCTCCGAACTTTCAAATTAGTCTAATGTACTCTCTAATGTGGTGTCACATCGGTAAAATCATCATCAAAACCATCCAGGTTTAAAAGCAAATAGTTTTAAAAGTTGAGAGATGTAAAGAAACTGGTTTTGTAGTTTACTAAGCAAAATTGGACTACCGTGATAGATGCGAAAGGTAATTGGACTTTTTTCTGGAAAAAAAAACATGCCCTAAAAATTTAAAGAGATATGTTGGGCCAAGATAAGATGGGACGGGCTTTGGTCCCCGCCCAGGCTATCTCACCTCCTACGGTAGGAGGGGGAGACCGCGTGGGAGGGGTGGCTTTGTGGGCCCCACGTGCCCGGTGGGGAACGGCAGAATGGGGTTTGGTCTCAGAACAGAGCAAAGGGCCGGCACACAGCTGCGGGCTGTGGGCTGCAGAGGAGCTGCGGATAAGGTGGAGCGGCGGAGTGGGGTGGCTGGCCGCCCGGGATATCGGCCGGCGGGTCCCACACCGCACACAGGCGCACTCGAGGTACGCTCGGTTAGCCTCGTCCAACCTCGCAGCATGTTCTGTTCCACCACATCTGGAGTGTCCCCAACTCGAGTGTAGAATAGCCTGTGATTGAGCTGGTTGCAACAAAAAAAAAAAGAGAAGTTGGCTTGCTGCTATGTCTAATATGGCTGCGCGACAATCTTATAATATTGTAGACGTAGGTAGGATCAATCCCTCTGTTGTCCTACAAGCATTCAAGCTGTCTACTGTGTATTTCAAGCAGTGCTTCACTTTCATTCCCTGTCGTCCATCTGAGTTATCACACAGCTTGGACACACCTCTTCCACTTTCCTCCACCTAAATACGTGGGATCTGCCAGTGTATTTATAATCTAACATATATATAAACAGACATTGTGAGCCTAAAGTTCAGTAACACAAAACAAAAGATAGCAATGGGGGGATGACAGATCAATAACTTAAACAAAGAAAGAAAATAATCCATCACACAACCATGTCAAAGAATTTATCCCAAGAAAAAAATTACAAAGAAACTTGGATATCTTTCTGTTTGCTTTAGTAGTGACGTGTAGCTTCATCTAGTAGCTGGTACAGACTCTCCAAACACCATGACTTTGCCGAATTCCTTGTCCATTCGTGCAGAAAGTAGAAGTGTCAAATTGTCATTTGCTTTGTTATCTGGTCCTTGTCAAATATCACCCACCCTCCATTTGATTTTTTTGCACAAACACGTGCCGATCGGCAGATTCACATGCTGCTGTTAAGTCAAAAAGATGATTTTAGGCGTTGATTAAGTCAAAAGGCAATCATTAATCAGTGTTTTCCTTTTACAAACCAACTCCTGTGCACCGGTCAATTCTGTTAGCACCCGTACCACTACATCAGCAACCCAAGAGGATAACGGGAACGACGACGGCCAGCCTGATGTTCATGGCGACATTCAAGCCGAGCATGGGCCGCGTCGAGGAGGGTGTGACCGCAGGCCCAACATACGAGTCCATGGGCCAGAGTGGAAGTGACCGACCATCACCTGGCGAGAGTGCCGTGTCATCTCAGTATATGTAATCGGAGAGAGAGAGAGGGGGAGGCTGGAAAAAGAAGATGAACAACTTGTAAAACAAGCACCCCGCTGCTATTCGATTCAGAACTCAACCTTCCCCAATTCTGTGCTTGTTCTTCCTTTGATTCTTACCGGATTGATTGCCAATCCCCTACTCCTACCACTCTGCTTACATCTGGTATCAGCTTCCTTCGATTCCTTCTTCGATTTCTTCCGACATCCTCTGTCCTATCTTCGATTCGTCAATAGCTTACAAATGCCTTGGGTCGTAGAGATCGAATCGATTCCCCTCGATCCTGATTTTCGTAATTCCCGAGCACGTGAGCAATCTGTTTCGATTACCGGCGCTGGATCGTCAGCCACCACCGCCGCCACCGCCGCCGCCCCCGCATCCTCACTACACGCGCTTCGCTCGTAGTCGCGGCGCCATGAACCCAGACTCCAAGCTCCTGTTGGACGAGATGCATCGTCTCTTCAACGAGCAAAAGACCCAGATCGAGGACCTATTCGCTGAGGCGGATCGGAAGCTGGACTCGCGCTTCATCGACAACAGCCGCCTCCTGGAGAAGCGGTTCGCCGACGTCGACGAATCCGTCACCAAGCGCCTCGTGGACGTCGATGACTCCCTCAACAAACGCCTGACCGAGGTCAACGACTCCCTCAACAAGCACCTTGCCGACTCCGACCTCTCCTGGGAACGCCGCATCACCGACTCCGAGTTGCGCCAGAACAACCTCATCGCCGAAGCTGAACGGCGTCAGGACGACCGCGTCTCCGGCGTCATGAAGGTCACGGGCGCCCTGGAGAGCTGGTGCCCGGACTCCGAAGGTGCTATGGATGATCTCAAGCTGAAGGTGGACAAACTCACAAAATATTGGGATCGACCATTCCTCGACAATGCTATGGCGTCGACAGGGTTGATCTCCCAACCACCTTTGGCATTGGAGCAGACTGTCGTGCGTTCATCTACGGATCTCATGGCTGCTCGGCCCAGCGGGCACCACGTCGAAACGACTCCACGGGTGAATGGTATTGGGGAGAATTCTTCCCAATCCCATTCCCCGGCCAATGGTATGCATTCCGAGCCCAAACCTGAGGTTTCGCTATTTCATGGAGAAGCTTATGATGTTCATACTCGTAACCATCCTCCTGATCCTAACCCACCCAATCTCGGCAAACTACCCAAGCAAAATTTTCCCACCTATGAGGGGGAGACTATTCGTCTATGGATATCTCAGGCCGAGGATTACTTCAACATGTATGAAGTACCTCCGTGCCAGTGGGTCAAAATTTCTCGCATGAACTTTCGTGGAGCAACCGGTCGCTGGATCAAGTCCATTCCCCAACCAGATCGCCTACCCTGGCTTGATTTTTGCAAAATGCTCCACGATCGCTTTGGCTGTGATCAGCGTGACAAGCTTGTGCGCCAAATGTTCCATATAAGCCAAATTTCCACTATCACTGACTATGTCGATCGCTTTTCATCCGCCTTTGATCAGCTTAAAGCCTATCAACCCAATCCTAACATGCATTACTTCACCACTCGTTTTGTGGATGGGTTATGGGATGATATCAGGATGGTTGTTACATTGCAGCGTCCTTCTACTCTCGATACTGCGTACTCGTTGGCTCTATTGCAGGAAGAAGTGGCGGCTTCGACTCCGAAGACTGACACCACCAGGATGGGGTTTAGACCACAACACAAACCGGCGCTAGCACAGCCGCAGCTGCCTGGTGCTGACAAGGTGATGGGCAACAAGGCTCTTGCCAAGGGCCAAGATGAGAAGCTTTCAACAGTTCGGGCCTACCACCGTGCCCGAGGTCTCTGTGAAGTCTGCGCCGAGAAATGGGTGAGAGGACACAAATGTGTTGCTACTATTTCACTGCAAGCAATGCAAGAAGTTTGGGATTTCTTCAATATTGAGCCAGCCTCTGAAGATACTGATGAACCTGATGAGCAATTACTTCTGGCCCTGTCACATGATGCTCGCATGGGATCCCATGGCCAACGCACTATTCAGTTTCACAGCACTGTTCATGGGCTTTCTGTTGTCGTGTTGATTGATTCTGGGAGTTCTTCGTCATTTCTGGCTACTTCCATTGCTGATTAGTTGCCTCAGCTGGCTCGGGTTCCTATGAAGCCTTCAGTGAAAATTGCTAATGGACAGATTTTGAGCTGCACATCTGCTATTATGGACTGTCAGTTTTCTTTGTAGGGTCACCCATTCCAGCATGATTTAAAGATTCTTCGGTTGGACTCTTACGACCTAATTCTGGGTATGGACTGGCTCGAGCGATACAACCCAATGGAAATTCATTGGAAGGCTAAATGGATCTCTATACCTTGTGGTGGTACTCAGTTGGTGTTTCATGGGCTTTCCGCCACATCTACAGCTGACATGGTTTTCCAATTGCTTTCAGTTGAGATGCAGTCCAATTCAGTTCGGTCAGATGTACTTCCATCAGACATTCATCATATTCTAGATGCTTTTTCACAAGTATTCACGGTGCCTGACAGCTTAACACCAAAGCGCGCATGTGACCATGCTATACCGCTAATCAGTGGTGCTACACCTATCAATATTCGAGCCTATCGATACCCACCTCAACTGAAGGATGAAATTGACACACAAGTTTGGAGTATGCTAGCTCAAGGCTTAATCCAACCCAGCTCTTCACCGTTTTCTTCACCCGTGCTGCTTGTTAGGAAGAAGG